CAACACAACCTATTCACAAGGGCACTGTGGAAGGAGGCACGTCACGCCTGCCCATGCTTCACACTTGGACAAAAAGCTAATGCCAGAGTTCTGGTAGCCTTCGCATCTGCTGTCAGAACCACAGAACGGAAAGTTAGAACGCAATGGTCTCATGTTGGATTGGCAAGCTGAAGAGTCACGCGTCTCTAATGAGTCGAAAACATGTACAGATACATGAGCCTGAGCAACTTATGCCAAGCACAGATGGGTCCAGATGGAAGAGGGCTTTGGAGCTGGTGGGAGCTGGAACACTCTCTTTTCTGTCTTACCCTAAAGATGCACTCAAGGGCTTGAGCATTAGAGTAACCAGAGTCCTCTCGGAGCCCACAAAGCTGGAGCTCCGTAGGCTTCAATCCTGTATGGCTGACATAGGGCTCTATAGCCCACCTTGGGAGCCTGAGGTATCAGAAATTCTGATACCAGCAAAGCTCAGAAGACCTTTGTGGAAACCCACGTGAACCCATTCATGGAGAGCAACAGGTTGCCATATCTGGTCTTGTTGGAGTCCCTGTAGGATAGACCTGACCAACCCTGACCACGCTGAAGGTGACATTCCTGGCTTCCCGCCTTTTGTCTGGGTTATAGTTCAGCTAAGTTTGTAAATGAGACACAACTGTCTGTTCTTCACCCCATGTCTACAGCCCCAGCTCCTACTTTGTGCCGAGAGCCATTCTCTCTCCTCACCCACCAACGCTCTAAGATGCAGCGTTGGGCTCACCCAATCTGTCAATGGGCTAAGAGTGCTCTGAACGACTATCCATGTGACTCAATTTGTCAGTAAAAACTGCCACCAGCGCTGTGCTTGCAGGAAAAAAAATGTCCATAAATGCATTATTGCAACTGGCAGATCGATGTCTATAATAAAAACAAATAGATTTAACAAGTGCCTGCTTTTTACGAGCCATGCCATTGGTGGACTAGACGTTTGGTGTCACCCTCGGACTTCTGGGAATGGGCCCCGGAGCCGGGCTGGATGCAGAGCTGACTTCACAAGTGTTATGGGTGGGAAATTATTGTAACAAGAAAATTTTAGTAGCAGAGTGGACACACCAGGCATTTATCGCTCTTTCGTTGTTCCTTTTGTGGTTCTGCATGACAGCGAACATCTGCAGAATGTCTGGACTGGTCTTACTCATATGGTGCAGGCCAAAATGAGTTCCTGCCACCTGGAGTGCACAAAACAGGTTTTAACCATGACCAAGATTGTCACCACTGTGCCTCTGGCCTCTGGGGATGGCCTATCTATCAGGCTACTTCACTGAGGCAGGCTCTGGAGCAAGGTGTAGGAGACTAGCCTAACCCAGTGATGCCTGGCCTCTTGGGAGACACAGCCTGTGACCCCTCCGCATGGAAACCACACCTGTCAGGGCACTGATTCCTTCAAGATCACAGGAGGTCACCAAAGGAGTTAGTTCCCTTCTTAAGGCTAATCATTTTAACAGCTACAGGAAGGGGTAAGTCCCTCATTACGCTACACATAATCATTGCGTGGCTTTCCCCAAACCACACAGTCCTCCTCAGTGATCCTTTTATTACTGCTAATTTTTAAGTCAAAAGGCTTGGCTACTGCCATGGGCCATCAGCTGAATAGCAAGGACACACATCACAGCATACTCAGGCCACAGTGCTGTGTCTCCAACCTTTATCTATCTATGCTTAGCACAGGCCTCCACAGCAAACAGAACAAGAAAATCCATCCTGTCAACCAGGGCAGAGCCAGCCTCCAGCAAAGATCTACTTACTCCCTTCTAGATAAACCCTGTGGCTTCCAGTTCAGACACAGAACTGGTGTAAGCCAGTTTGTTTATCAGTATCTGTAGACAGGCTGACAGAGGCCACAGGTTTCCCAGTGAAATGTTGGTCTTTAGGTCTCTTATTTGAACCTTCAGGCTTTATTTAATTAACAGTCTGCAGTCAGACGCCAATGCCTTCAGTAAGAACGTGGGCAAAGCCATTTATGCACTCACCCAAACAGGGCCAGGCATAGCTGTGGCAGCAGCCAAGCCAGGGTCATCCAGAGTCTGACATACTCTTGTGCAACACAGACCCAACCAGGAGCCAAGACCTGGGGCAAAGTAGATCTATTGGCGAGGGTGGGACATGGGGGGAGCCTGGGATAGGATGGACACTTGGGCAAGGTCACCATGGCATGTGAAGCAACAAGACTGTCCCCAACTTTGACGGTGCACCCAACTTTTTGTACTTTCCCACAGTACAAAGCATTAAGGACTCAGCAGGTGCCTTGCATGTGTTGAATTTTGATCTTCTCCAGGGCTAATGGTCTGTGATCCTTCCAGCCGAGAAGCCACAGAAACAAGCAGGACCATCCAACCTGTGCCCAACGGGTCACACATGGCTGAGGACAGCTATAGATGTGATCCAACAACAACAACAACAAATTACAAACTTACTAAAATATTAGGAGATTTTTGTTTTTTGTTTGTGTGTTTATTTTTAGTAACTGCATGATTTTCAATTGTGAACTGTATAGGCAACAATGTCACACATGTCAAAAGCTGGGGTGGCATGTGAGTCTGTAGTGTGGCGTGCTGTGATGTTGGGTGGGGCTATTCAGGGGGTCAGTTCGGTGATGTCCTTTTTTGATTTATGGTATTTTCAGTTTCCTCGGGGGAGGGGGGACAGTCACATCCCAAGCAGAGGAGCATATGGCTAGTCCAGTGAGAAGGAGAAAAAGGAATTCCGACAACAGTTACCCTTCTGTTGTTTCCTACCAAAGCCAGATTGAGCAGCTAAGAAAGGCATTGACAAGGAGTTGGTCCTGATGGTCTGACCCCGGATCCTAAATCATAAATTCAGAACAATCATGACAATGTAATTGGGTTGTCCAGTGGTTGGCTGATTGTGTTTTGGACACAGACATTCACCCCGGCTCAAAGGAGCCTGCAACAGCTGTGTAGTACAAACTGGCCTTTAATTCCTGGCAATCCCCCTGACTCGGCCTCGCAAGTACTGGGATTAGAAGCTTCTCAAGTACTAAGTTTAGCTTGAGGCACCAAACTCAGCTTGCACCTATTAACAAATTCGGAGAAGGGGGCAGTATTTCAATCTCCCGGGAGAGAAGAAAGAGGAGCAATTCTGGCACGCCTCCTGCCTGTGACCCTGCATTAGGGAAAAGGGGCCTTGACTGTCTAGACTGGGCAGTGTTTCTGCAAATGTGACACGAGCTCAGATCACCTAGGAAGCGGGAACTTCAACTGAGAAAATGCTTCAATCAGACTGGCTTGTAGGTATGTCTCTGCTAACTGATGAGGAAGAGCCCAGCCCACCAAGGGTGCCCTGGGCAGGTGATTGTGGGCTGTATAAAAAAGCAGGCTGAGCAAATCATGAAGAGCAAGCAGGTGGACAACATCCCTCCCCGGTCTTTGCTTCAGTTCCTGCCTCCAGGTTCCTGCCCTTCTTGAGTTCCTGCCCTGCCTTCTCTTCGTGGTGGACAGTCGTCATGTAAGCCAAACAAACCCTTCCCTCACCAGGCTGCTTTAGTCACTGTGTTTTAGCACAGCAATAAAAAACTGAGACAGCAGCATGCCTGTGAAAGCAGGCCCAGTGAGGGGAGGGAGGAGAGGCAGGCCCAGACGAGGCCTACTGACCTAGAACAGGACCCAGAGATTGGTGACTTTTGCTTTCCACAGAAGGTGGCAGCCTAAGACACAGTTGTCTAAGCACTGCACCCGGGGCTCTGCTTCTTACACCTTCCATAAGAAGAGACCTCTTCAAAGCCACACTGTTGTGGATTCTTTTTCTTTTTCCCTTCTATTTTTTCTTTTTTCTTTTCTTTTTTCCCCCAGTGAAAAAGAATACTTCCACAGAAGAGTACCATTAGCATAACAGAGTTCTTGCAGCCTGGTTCCCACAAACCTCAGAAGGTGAAGGCACTATAACTATTTCCCTGCCAAGCTCTAAGTCAAGACCTAGAGAGCCCAGGAAGGAGCAAAGACTCAGGCAGGCCAGTGGTGCAGGACCATTCTGCCCAGCCACACTCTGGCAGATATTCAACAGGGCTAAGTTTGCAGGACACTGATCACAAGCCAGCCTTCTCACACCCCCACAACCACCTAGGACCACATCACCACAGTATGGCAGCCATTAAGAGACACGTGAACTCAATTAAATCATCTGGGATTACCTGTCAGGGAAGAGAGATGACGAGGAGGCCTAACACAGATTCTACAGGGTGTTTTATACCTTTTTCCCAAGCTGTTTCCTGAGTCTGAGGACGGACAGACGGACGGACAGACAGACAGACAGACACACACACACACACACACAGAGACACACACACACACACACACACACAAACCTTGCTTCTCAGAACAATACAATCAGTTTCTGAGTGAGGCACCTAGGAGTAAAACTGCTAAGACCTCACAGAACAAAGACCTAGACCCACAGGTAGAGAAGTTCATGGCCTGGAGTCACTGTACTGTCCCCAACTTGGAAAGTGCCTGACTGTCTAACTCCTGTTCACTCCGAGTGTTTAAGCATGATCTTTTGACCACATGGATGTGCCTGACACCAGCCATGATGCTGCAGGATCCTGGGACTTGGGTATTTTCTCCTAGTCTCTAGAAAGAAGGAACTATGAGAAGCATGGGCCTGCAGCACTTCTTGAAGCTTCCCTACAGGGAGGTGAGGGGGTTCCTCAAGCCCTCATCAGCAATGAAGGGAAACAGGATGGCTAGGGGACCCGCAGAGTCCAGTAGAGGCTTGAAAAGTGTTTGGCATCTGGAGGTGTGGCAGGAGACAGACATAGTCACCAGGCAGACTGGTCCCCTGTACCCCAGGCCCCTGAAAAGTAGGGCCCATTCAGCGCAATCTGTAGGAGGGGCAGAGGTCCTGGAGAAAGGAAGGAGCCCTTAAGGCAACTCAGCAGCGACTGTCTCCCTGGGCTCCGGACTTTCGCTTTCTCCAGGAAGGGCCCCACACTGTGCCCCGAAACTCACCAGCTTGCAAACTATGCAGACACTCAGCAACTTGGAATGGTGCAAAGGGCCTGGACGTCAGAACGCTAGGCTCTAGCACGGGAAAACGTGGGCCGCGGTACACGCTCAAGCTGGGGGCGGGGCCTGGTGCTCGGGGAGGGGCAAGGCCTGCGTGCGCGGGGAGGAGTCAAGTTACAGACGGCGCTGGGTTGTGGGGGTGTGGCCGGAAAGTGTAGGGTAAGCCTCGCACGTGGGGGCGTGGCCGGGAGTTGCCGGAAGCGGGAGAAGGAGCCTAGGCGGGCTGATTGCTGCCAGAGCTTGCCTTTGGTGCTGGGCTGCAGTTCTGCGCAGCGTCTACATAGGGGCTCCCGCACCAGGACTCTTACTTCAGACTAAAACCGGTTCCTAGCCCACCCTAGAATTTGTAATACACCAGCCCTGTGGTTTCCGGAGCCGGGCCTCACCTTCTAGCCTCGGCCTCAGCACGCCACGCTCCAGTTTAGCCACTGTGACCCAGTCACGAGCTGTCTGTCTGCCAACAGTGTGTACCGAGAGGGTAGTGGAAGCTCTAGGCACACTAGGAATCCGGGTCACTGCCGAACAGGGGCTGCACCTGCAAGTTGGGCCAGGGCTGCTGTCTTTCAGGTCTTCTTGGCACTTGCAACCAAAATGTCTCAGTCGCTGTTCAGCTAGTGTGGGTATGCAGCTCTGATGTGAGGTGACAGGAGTGAATTTTGTCCACTAGGAAAGCCTTGCTGGAATTCTCCCTCTGTACTTAAGAATGTGGCCTTATTTGGAAATACACAGAGGTGACACATGAGGAAGAGGTCACAAGATAGGAGGGCCCTAATCTGATAGAACTGCCGTCCTTGAGAGCAGATAGTGAGCTGCCAGATAAACCTGTGGCTATCAGATCCTGTAGGAGACAGGAACTACCAGCCTCCTGGACTGTAAACAACTTCCTATTAGTTGAAGCCACCCAATTTGTGGTACTTGATTGGAGCCCTAAGGCATCTGACTTGAACAACGTCTTTAAGGAATGACATCACCCTGAAGTTTCAGAGAGACAGACATACATGGTAGTAATTTCAGGGTCTCATCCCAGATGCACATGTATTAAGAACCATGCTGTGATTCTCCTGGGGTTTGTTTGTTGATACCTTCTCTTTCCCAGCGTGTAGCTCCCCTGCTTGGATTTGGCCCAAATACTAGTATCCTGGAGGAGCCAACATATTAACACCTTTAGGAAACGTTGCTCAGAGAAACTCATTAATGTTTGTTGTATGGTGAGCCCCAGTGACTCACAGTGGCCATCGTTAACCCTTTAAAGCCATTCCTCCTCACCCCTAACGTCCCCTTCTCTGAACATGCTAAGAATAACTACTGATAGAAGATGAACTAGACTCCTGGGTGCATGGGATGATCAAATAAAACCTCAGAGTCCTGTGATGGCCACTCTCATCAACTTGACTGGATTTGGAATTACCTGGGAGACTCACTTCTGGACCCGTCTGGCAGGGATTTCCAGAGGGTGAGTCGAGGACCATCCCTGAAGGTGGCTAGTGCTAGCTCTCCAAGAGCTGAGGTTCCAGGCTAGATGAAAAGGGAACAGAGGGGAACACAAACGGAGCACCAGCATTCAACACTCTCTGTGCCGTGATCAGCTGCTTCTGCTGCATTGCTGCATGCCTGCCCCTCCAGGATGGACAGCGTCTCTCAGCCCTAACTCCCTTGACTGGCTCTCTTTCAGGTATTTGGTTACAATGGTGGGCGTAGGAGCCAGCACACCTCCTCAGTGCTGTGCTCAGACAGACACAAGTATTTATGCTAGGGAACAGAGACATGAAACTGTTTATCCTGTGTCCTGCTCTTCCTTATTGGTTCCCTAAGACTCTTTAGGAAACGCTTGACTTCTTGGGTCCTTAAGTTCATCATCCACACAGTAATTTCACAAGAATCTCTGCTGTGCACATGTAAAGCACACTTGCATATTGCTTGTGGGATAACAACCGACTATTGAGTAAGGATACTATTTACCAGATCCCATATAGTCTGACACTACTATGACCCAATTAGAACTGGGATCCTAATAGAACTGAGAATGAGAAACACCAAGATTAAATCAGAGTTCCAGTTGAGATCCCAACAAGTACACTCTGAAGCAGATACAATTAACGTAAAATTATTAGTAATAAGAATCTTAATTTGTCCAACTCTCTGGGTTACAGAACTGGAGATATGACTCAGAGGTGAAGAACACTGGCTACTCTTTCGGAGGACCTGGGTTCAATTCCCAGAACCCACATGACAGCTCACAGCTGTCTGTAACTCAAGTCCCAGGGAATCCTGTGCCTTCTGGCTTCTGTGGGCTCCAGGCACACATAGAGTACAGACCTATATGTGGAGAAAATACCTATACACATTAGATAGATAGATAGATAGATAGATAGATAGATAGATAGATAGATAGATAGATA